ACTTTAACCTTTGTTCATGTGAACCCCCCCCCCGTTATATAAAAAAAGTGGGCTCCCCCAAAGTCCACCGTATAGTTCGAACACTGCATATACTGTATGTATATATAAAATTTAAATAACCATTTGCTTCCATTCTGTGTGCAACAGATCGACTGGCTTTTTAAAGTAGTTTATCACGCCCTCTATTGGTTCTTGTACAGATTGCAGGCACACAGTTGTAGAATATATTTTTTAATATAGAATGTAAAATGATTTTAGATACAACACTGCTGAGAAATTATTCTCACTGGTTGTAGGATTTACAGAACAAAATTATGTACAAATTAGATTAAAGTTTACATATGAATCCTCATTGAAACATTTTTTTTTACAAAGCATTTCAGCCTCTTTTACCCCTTGAAATCAAGAAACATTCATTAATTTCTCTGTGAATGTAAATTAAGAATTTATAATGTGAATGTGATCAAATTATTCATTAAGGCTGCCCTGTAATTCTCTCTGGGGAAAAGAGTCTAAATTACAGGAACCCAATTGCTGGGTTTGTCCCTATTTTACCCAGCAGTGGGTTGTATTTAACCAGGCATTTTTTAGAGTGTAATAACAGTTGTTAACCCTGAAACCCTTTATTTAAGAGAGGCTAATTATGAAATGTTGAAGCTAAGAGGTGAAGAGAACTGGGTGCATAGCAATACAGTGTTACATTATGAGCTTGTAAATGTTACAAATTTAACATTTATTAACCTTAACATCAGACTGACGTCAAAGCTATGTTAGTTAACTTTAGTTTGCTTTAAAAGTTCATACTTAGGATACATTAAAATGTTAAGACAGTATATATCTGAGACATAACTGTGATCTACATTTACAGGCAGAGTTCTGAAAGAAGTTGAATGTAAAGCTTTAAAACAGTTATTAAATATTTTATTCCATACAATATTTATATCCATACATATTTTAATAAATATTACATACAATGTAAACACTTACCATATAGTCTTACTACATGTGTCGTAATAGTTGCATTTGGTTAAGTGATAATTATTTGTGTGAAATTATTTGAAATCACCCGCGTTGGAATTTAATGTCGCATAGACACTTTCCTTTGTCTTTTATACCCATTATATCCCATTCAAATCAAAGATCAAGAGGGACATGTTTGAATCCAGATCACAGGCGCTTGTAGAAAGACAAGATGTTGTTGCAGTTTGGGCAGCGGTGCTCAACATCTTTACATGAATCCATCCAGAAAGGTGCTAGACAGCACGGCCAGCACCTGCAAAAGAGGCATCAGACTCAGTCAATCACTGTCTGCCCTATTGACTTCCACTAAACGCTTATATTCCTCTCTAACTCTAGGCTCTTGCTGTCTGCTTGCAGTATTACAAGACAAAATATGATTTACATAACGTTTTATTTACATTTACATGTCCCATTGAAACTCAACAAGCCTTCGCTGAAAACAAAGTAAACAATTAACAATTTCCACTCTGAAATTGTTAGTACATATTACAATTAATTACAAAAAAAAGACTAATTAAGTAGAAAGTAGAAAGACTAGTATTTTATTGTAAAATGTACTCCAAAAATCTTTGTTTTATTTACAACCTTGATAAATAATTTTATGGTGTATTCTGTCTAAAAAGGGACACAAATGGCAAATTTACACTGTAAAGGTGGCACAGAAGTGCTTCTGAAGTGGCATTTAGGTGTCTTTACACACTGTTTAATGCCTCTCAGAGGAGGCATAAACGGATATACACAGCAATCACAAATGCATACTTTGATACTAAGGGTTGAGGTGGGTCAGAGGAGCTGGTATAATTTAGTCTATTGCATATTTACACTGGATTTTAAGCAGGCACAGAGCAGTCTTAACTTGGCTGTGTGAAGGCACTTAAAAAAGTAAAGTTTTTTCACAGTGATGCCATAGAAGAATCTTTTAACCTCCTGAGACCCTGTGACCTCATAAGAGGACATTATATTTTGGTGTATTTCTCTGAGACTAATTATTTTTCATTTTTTTTTTTTTTTTTTATGCTCTAAACAATGTAAAGACATGAAAAAAAATTTTTTTTTCCTAAAAATCTTTTCTCGGGTCTTAAGAGGTTAATGAATAGTTCTTAAACTAATCTTTTTTTTTTTTTATTGTGAAGAATATTTTAAAAATTCAAAGAACCCTTTTCCACTATAAAGAACCTTTTGAGTAATGAAAAGGTTCCATGGATGTTAAAGGTTCTTCATGGAACCAACCTTTTTTTTTGAAGAGTGTGTAGTAAATTTGATGAAATTATCAAGTTTAAGGAAATGTTTACCCGATGAGGGCAAGACAGCCACAGGCCAGCCAGGCCATGAGTCCAGAGTAGTGATCTGTTATAGTGATCACCTGGTGCTTACAGTGAGGGCACATGGTTTGAGCGGGTAAATCACGCAGGCTGGGAAGCATCACTGTGGTTGTTACAGCTGTAATGCACATAAACACAACACATGATCCAGAATAAAAAGAAAAGCTACCATTCTGCCATTGTGTAGCATCATTTATTCTTCTCATTTTGGTTGCTAGGAGAAATTGTTTTGACAGTTGAACAACTTAAATAGTAGCTCTGCCATTTTTCTTTTTCTCTCATTATTTGAATATCAGGCAGTGGAATTGCTTTTGGAAGTTTGAGATATCAAGTATAATAACCAATTTCCAATGGAGTGTAGTATTACGCTCTAAAAAATGCTGGGTTAAATATAACCCAGCATTCCTTAGAGTGTAGTATTAAAGAGTTAGTTCACCCAAAAATGAAAATGATCATAATTTACTCACTCTCATATCATTCCAAACACATAAGAATTTGATCTTCAAAACACAAATTAAGATATTTTTAATGAAACCTGAGAGGTTTCTGTCCCTTCTTTGTAAATCCAGGTAACCAAAACTTGATCTAAAAAGGTCATAAAGGTGTCGCAAAAGGAATTATGAACTGAGTTATGAATTGAGTGGTTTAAACCAAGGCTTATTCTTTGTACGTTCCAAAAAAGGATGTAAATAAAAGTTATATCTATTCATCATATAAAGTAATCACGTGTATTCAAAAGACTTGGATTAAACTGCTCTATAATGCCTTTATGTCCTTTTTGGAGCTTATAAGTTTTGGTTGCCTGGACTTGGTTGGAGGGACAGAAACCTCTCAGGCTTCATAAAAATGTCTTAATTTTTTAAACCAAAGTTAAAGGTGTTTAGAACAACATGAGAGTGAGAACATGATTTCAGAAATGTCATTTTTGGTTGTTATTGAAGCTTGCCTAACGAGTGTCTGAGTACGATAGTTGAACATTGTAACTTACTGGTAGTTTGAGGATACATCCCTGGGTTTGGACCTTTGGAAAAAGATTTAAAAAGGGTGGCATTGCACTAATATCAGTGACTGATAAATAGATAAAATAGTATTGAGTATCGAGCCATTTTGAGGATTATCTACTAAAATAACTGTTTAAATTGATAATTGAAAACTGTACTTACCGTTAACTTGAGGATACATCCCAGGGTTTGGACCTTTAAAAATTGTTAAAAGAGTTTCATTGCACTAATACCAGTGATTGGTATTAATTAATTTGTAGCTTTTATACTCTTTGATAGTTAAAAAACTGCAACTTAATGTTAATTTGAGGATATATCCCTTGATTTGGAGCTTTAGAAAAAGATTTCGAAGCAGTAAAAGCTGTCACTGACAATACATAATGTCTTTTTTAAAATTCAAACAAGCATAATTAACCTCAGCTGTCAACATGCCACATATCATGTGATTAAAATTTTATTTTGAGTAAAATTTGAGTACATGATTATAATAATTTTACACAATGAAAACATCAATCCATACAATTTCAATCCATGGAGGTTCACATTTATGTGTGTCTGATATGATCAAGGGAAATTAATTAATTAATTCATTTATTTATTTATTTGGTGTCTTAACGGAATCTAGAGTATCACAAAATTGTGGAGTCAATATTTGGTAATGATATAGCATAATAAGACATTTATAAGCAACATCTTGTTGGTCAGTCATTTTGAGCAGGAACAACACGAGTGTAACAAGGTAACCAAAACTTGATCTAAAAAGGTCATAAAGGTGTCGCAAAAGGAATTATGAACTGAGTTATGAATTGAGTGGTTTAAACCAAGGCTTATTCTTTGTACGTTCCAAAAAAGGATGTAAATAAAAGTTATATCTATTCATCATATAAAGTAATCACGTGTATTCAAAAGACTTGGATTAAACTGCTCTATAATGCCTTTATGTCCTTTTTGGAGCTTATAAGTTTTGGTTGCCTGGACTTGGTTGGAGGGACAGAAACCTCTCAGGCTTCATAAAAATGTCTTAATTTTTTAAACCAAAGTTAAAGGTGTTTAGAACAACATGAGAGTGAGAACATGATTTCAGAAATGTCATTTTTGGTTGTTATTGAAGCTTGCCTAACGAGTGTCTGAGTACGATAGTTGAACATTGTAACTTACTGGTAGTTTGAGGATACATCCCTGGGTTTGGACCTTTGGAAAAAGATTTAAAAAGGGTGGCATTGCACTAATATCAGTGACTGATAAATAGATAAAATAGTATTGAGTATCGAGCCATTTTGAGGATTATCTACTAAAATAACTGTTTAAATTGATAATTGAAAACTGTACTTACCGTTAACTTGAGGATACATCCCAGGGTTTGGACCTTTAAAAATTGTTAAAAGAGTTTCATTGCACTAATACCAGTGATTGGTATTAATTAATTTGTAGCTTTTATACTCTTTGATAGTTAAAAAACTGCAACTTAATGTTAATTTGAGGATATATCCCTTGATTTGGAGCTTTAGAAAAAGATTTCGAAGCAGTAAAAGCTGTCACTGACAATACATAATGTCTTTTTTAAAATTCAAACAAGCATAATTAACCTCAGCTGTCAACATGCCACATATCATGTGATTAAAATTTTATTTTGAGTAAAATTTGAGTACATGATTATAATAATTTTACACAATGAAAACATCAATCCATACAATTTCAATCCATGGAGGTTCACATTTATGTGTGTCTGATATGATCAAGGGAAATTAATTAATTAATTCATTTATTTATTTATTTGGTGTCTTAACGGAATCTAGAGTATCACAAAATTGTGGAGTCAATATTTGGTAATGATATAGCATAATAAGACATTTATAAGCAACATCTTGTTGGTCAGTCATTTTGAGCAGGAACAACACGAGTGTAACAAGGTGGGGAGAAAATCTCAAAAAGGTGTAAAAATAATCGTTTTGGGGGCAAAGTTGTTATACCCTATGTGAGCAAAGTCAACTTACAACGTGATAACATTAACTAGCATTTTCGGGAAATAGAAAATCCTCTCTGGGTCTGAATGACATGAACACAATACGAAGGCTAAGAAATGCACCAACAAGCAACCTATTCAACTGAGGCTTATCAGAACAAACGTACCTCCCTGAAAGTTTGGATTAACTCCTGGCTCTGGGTATGAGGTGTATGCCATATTAATATTTGGATATGGAGGTGAATTGTATCCTGGGTTGTGGGTCATGTCTTTTCCTATGTAATCTGCTGGATGTCCTGGGTACGGTGGAGCAGATTCATAAGCTTCAATGGCTTTCATAGCCTCTATATCCTCCATATCCTCCAGATATTCCACCGTTTCCAAACCATCCAAATCAGCTTCTCCAGCCTTATCCATATTCTAAGCTCCTTAAACAAAAAAACAACAAAGCGTAACAGAAGCACACAGAAGATGAGTTGCGGGTGAGGCTTACAGTCGTTTTAGGTGTGAGGACTACTTGAGTCCCAATGCAAATGCCAGCAAAAAAAATGTTGACAAGACTCATTCAAATCTCTACAGTGCATCCAAATTTCATTCCGAAATGGAAATGTTCTGTTTGTAAAGTATTTTGCACTGCTTTTCATTTTGGTCATGGAGACAGAGCTTCATTTTCCACCGCATCATCAAGACCAGGAACTTAAGACATATGACGTAGCTTGTAAAAACCAAGTTTTAGAGCTTCGCTCTTCCATTTGAAAATCAAATTTGAGATATTTCCCAACACAGAATTTTTACCTCATTTACATTTACAATTATGAAAGGTTGTTGAGTTATTACATCATAAAGAATATTTTTTTTCCAAAAAAGACGTAATATTACCTAATTTGATGATGCTCAGTTCAAATTATCAATCAAAACGTTTCACTTTGTATAGCTCCCCACATACACAAAAAAATAAGAATGAAGATTTTTCGAATGACATACACATATCAGCTTTAAAGCACTACTCAAAATAACAAAAAGAGTCAAATATCAGATGTTTTGGTGACAAAAGAAGTATTCAAAATGTATCATTTAACTTAAAATCTTAAAAAGGAGTGAAAAAAGAAACCATTATTAGTCATAAAATAATGTCTTCAGAATTATTCATATAGCCTATGTGAGAATCGGCAGAGAACAAATAGTTGTAGCCTGACTTTATTTGTGGCAGTTTTTCTGATGATTAAGGGATAATACAATGCTTCTTCATTAAATGTATCATTTTGTGAGAAAGTGTGATGCACTAGAGCAGTGGTTCCCAACCCTGGTCCTGGAGGCACCCCAACACTGCACATTTTGCACGTCTCCTTTCTCTGACACACCAGTTTCAGGTCTTGGAGTCTCTACTAATGAGCTGATGATCTGAATCAGGTGTGTTTGATTAAGGAGACATGCAAAACATGCAGTGTTGGGGTGCCTCCAG